AATTGAATTGGGTCCAATAAGGATGTTAAATGAAGATGAAACTTCATTTTTCTCTCTCCTTTTTTTTTTTTTTTTTTTTTTTTTTTTTTTTTTTTTTTTTTTTTTTTTTTGAACAGATAATGTACCTTAGTAACATTATTTCTTTGCAAGGTGACAAGCAATAAACTGTGGGTGAAATGGTTGTTATAGAAATGGATGGTAATATCATTGAGTGTAAAGTAAATTGATTGTACTTGGCCCAACGAAAAACAAATTGCTTGCACTATTTTGTACTAATAAGCTTGGATGTATCACCTTTTCACATCTTGGATAGGAATAAGGAACCTAGTTTCAGAGTTTTCTCTGAAGGGAATACGAACAAAGCAACTTTTTTCAAACTTTAGGAAATTTTTAATTTTGATTTGACGTCATAAAATGAAAAGAAAAACTAAATAGAAAACTTGGTTGGATAGGTACGATTGCGTATCTTTAGGATTTCCTGTTGACTATGATAAGTGATAGATGTACAGGTAAAAGGTGGAATTTCCGAGTGTCGCTTACGTAGGTTTGCAGTGGATTCACATTAAGATGTGTTTTTTTACTTATTATTGTAAACAAGAACTCAGTATTTATAGCAACAACCTCGTAACTACGACTCAAAATCAATATTCGAGTTTCATTTTCATTTGTAATAAGGAAGTTTACTAATTTTTAAGGAACTAGGAATGGAATATCAACAATGCTGGCAAGACTTCAAAATGAAATTGTCCCATAGAACTTCTACAGCAGACTAGATATTTGGTTACAATTCACTCGTGGTGGTTCAATTTACTCGTAGTGAACCTATAACAAATACGTATATAGATATTGCTTTTACTTTTGATACCAAAATATTAAGAAAACGCACTAGATTATCATTTAATGCTTTAAAAATTAATACTTTATTTCGTTGTGTGAGAATTATGAGGTTTTAATGTTTGGGTGAAATTTGAAACAATTTGTTGCGCGAAGGACCGGCCTATCCATCCAGGATATCGTCTAGACGGATAATAAGAGCCGAATCTTTGTATATTTACTTCTTTGTTACAGTAAATTACTTCTCTTGCGACTCATTTTTTATTTTTGGCAGTAGTGCTATCCTTTCTTTTTTAAATTATAGACAAAATCGATCTAAAAATTTAAAAATTGAGCTAATATTAGCGTGCGATTGAAGGCTGTGTTGGACACGATCGATTGACTCTTCATTGTTTGTACACGGAACATTCGTTAGCATAACAATAAAACAGTGTTTCCTAAGGAATACAACGTAAATAAAGGGATAGCTCTCTCAAGTGAGTAATCAACAATGACACAAGCTTGGAAATTTTATAAGTTCATATATCGAAGCGATTATATAACCTCGTCGTCAGTACTTTGAAATCAATGCAAGTTGCTCATTTCAGAGATCATTATAACGACTGTACGTCGACTATAAATACTCGTGCAAACGCCGATTGCTCTAATATTCCTCTACATTCGTAGGAAAGAGAGATCGTTTAGTATTTAGGAAGGTTTGGTAATGTTTGGTAATTTTGCGGATGGCAAACGGGTTTTAAACTTCGCGTGCATTATTTATTACTAGTAACACGATGCCCCTTGGCTTAAAATAGAGACAGTATGGTACGTACGCTAAGTATACCTTAAAACGATATAGCATTAAAAAATAAAGCTTTAGTGTTAAATCCTTCTATCTAAGATACAATTCTTTATAAATGTGTAATAAAAAAAAATCAATGAACAAAGAAAAAACGCGATCATTTTAGGTCATAATATACTCTATACTCACCTCGTTTAGGTTTAACCCGAAGCTCATGTTGAGGATGGAAGTCCGGAGAGGTTTCTCTTCTTTTCAACTTACAATTACTTAATCCACCATGTTGTGAGAGCAATAGTCGCTGCTTTCGTCCTCTTTTAGTAAGTTCTCGAGTGAAATTCTCTTTAATTACAGGTTTTTGTCGCGATAGAGACAAACTTTTTCCACGTATTTCAAGTGGTGGTGGTGACTGCGGTGAGTCGGGCGAACATGGAGAGCAAGGGCTCTTCGGATTTCTCCATTCTAAGTGATTACTATTTTGAAACTGGTTTTGTGGTTGACTCTTCTCCATTTTGCTCCATAAAAATATCCTCTAGGGATTCATCTGATTTTGTATTCTTTTTCTCGTAGTAATTCTAGAACCCTATCTAAATATGGCTGGATATGAACGAAGGTCAGTAGCGTAGCTGCAAGATGGCTCCAATCTTGATACCAAAGATCTAAACCCCCAAAAAATCTAATATATTTGTCCGATGGCTATGATTTCACTATAGGCCAGCTGTAAATGTGAAAAAATATCCTCGAGAAATTTACCATTGATTTTGCATGCACTTTGTTATTGACATCGTGGTATCACCTTCAAAACAAAGTTTTCTTCCGCTGGCGCTCAACTCTGTATCCATGCATTTTCGCGGGTTGCCAGTATAAACTACTAAATACTCTTCGCTCTCTGATTGGCTTGAACTGACATCATTATGGCCCCTTTTACCAACGAACCAATTGGCTTCGACGTCTTTGTTCTTTTGTCTTAACCTGTTGTCAAGGGAAAATGTTTGTTTAGTTTCCAAGTCATAACCCTAGAATATTTCTCATGCTAATCTGACTGAGTCAGACCTAAATTTAGCCATGACTTGTGGAATTAAATTTCAACACAGGAAGCCCATAAACCACAATAACAAAAGACATCATAAATAACTCGCTAAAAATGGTGTCAAAATACTAAAAAATACCAAGATTTCATAACAAATGTGCTCTAAATATAACATACGTCATTTTAATGGTTTTGAGGTAGAATTATTAATATATATTAACTATTAATCGAAGTTAGTCATTGATCTATTTATAACGTAGTCCTCTGGGGTTGGAACAGCTCATAATAGCAGGTCATGATTGGAAACTCAAATAAATCGTTCTTATTGTTCAGTTAAGATATCAAAATTGTTAGTCATAGGTAGGCAAGAGGTTCCAATATTTTTGCGAGTTCTAATAGTTTTTGAAATTGTACGTGTTATAAGATATTGATCCAGAATTTTCCCAACGAAAATTGTGTAAAATTGGTTGGAAAAATATAATCGGAAAAATAAATGCAGCAGAAATAGGGAAGAAAAATGAGTTCGAAATTTCGTTTTTAGTCATCACTTTCCTCTTTCTCTTTGATTTTTCCTTCTCTCTTCACTTTTCTTTCTTTTTTTTTTTCTCTCTTTTCCTTCTTCAGTCTTTTTTATTTTTTATTTTTCCTCTTTTTCAATTTCCCCTCTTTCCTTTTCTTCCTAAAAGTCTTTTTCTTAAATTTCATCTAATTTTCTTTCATTTTTCCCTTTCTGTTTCTTTTCCAATTTTTTTTCATCATATTACATTTTTTAAATCATTTTATTTCTTAAGCTTGACCAAGATCACTGAAAATTATACCAAGGGATGCATGCAATTAACTGAGCGGAGTGAATGAGCCGGCTGCTAAATAAACTCACTGAGATTAACTGATCCCCCCCCGTCCCACCCCGACCCTCACGCGTACGTCGTATCTTATTCGAAATATCAAAGTCAAGCCAGTACCACGAACACATTGCAACCTTTGCCTCGGACCTGCAAATCTACGATAAGAACTGTGCCAGTTTATACCTTGCAATTTAATTACCCTATCACCATAAGTACATATATAAGGGCCGAGAGAGCGCGATATCTACTCCCAGTATCAGTTTAATATCGAGATTTTGATATAATTCGTTGCTCTTGCATAATCATTTGCGAGAGAGACCGGAATGGAATGAATTCAATATTGGTTTATATGCTAAGAGAATAAAGATATTAGTATCTGTAAGACGTATGATTTCTTTTTGACGAACGCAATTGTCGACTTTACAAATAAATGTACAAGTCAAGAAACGAATCGCAATTATTTCTCAGTTTAGCCTCAGACTAGTCTTATAGAGTCTTGTCTAGTGTTACTTCTGTGCCAGGTTTTATAAGCTAGTAGTGTAGGTTTATTCTTTAAATCTTCTCTTGCTAATAAACTCGATAGACAAGATGAAATATCAAACCGCTTGACTGGAAACCGAGATTTATAAATCCATTGTTCATTTGTTTAGGCTGGCATGAATCAGACTGCATTGCCTGGGGCGACTGAAGAAACTGATATAAGCTGAACTCAGCCTTAATTGCAATTACCAGATCACTATCGATACGACTCCTTAGGTATGGTTGTTCTTATACTGATTACAATTGGACACAATGCTTGTGTTTGTTACTCCTAACATTCCTTAAAACCATCAATGATTGAGATAAAGAAAAGATAAAGAGCTACGCCAATACAATGCGATACTAGGCTTGCCTAATCAAGGCGGTGATCAACAATGGAGCAAGGTGCGGACAATCAGTCTCAGAACTCGTACGAAAGCTATTAAAAATGGACCGCAATTGTACACCAAATAACGTTGCTTCATCTGGGGAGAAAAATACAGCTACAGCGAGTTTTATCTGGAGCAGAGGTTACATCTCCTTTTGGAGAGAGATTTCAAGACATTAATCTCGGTACAATACGTAATTTTGAAGTAAAAAATGGGAATTTCCTCTTCAGTGCGCGTAAAAAAACCCAGTTTATTACAGTATCTTTACATTGAAATCTTGAGGAAATACAACGAAACACAGTGCGTCGCGCGATATCGGTCATGACGCAATTCGAACGCGTGCGCAATACGATGCAAATCAAGCCGAAAGCGATGACGACGAGAAGATGGTATGGTTTTGCTAAGAAAAAAATTAACAAATTCCAAGTTTAAAGTATGGATACTTGTATGACTGTTTAATTGATTCCGCGCTTAGCATAGAAAAAACGTGCTTTGGCCGCGGCGCGCCGGTGTTTAGTTTTGCCGCCTAAAATTTACATGACCATGAACATGGACTTGAATTGAAATTCTTCCGATGCGGACAAACATAGATCTAGAATTTTAATTATATCGTATTTAAAGGAGAGTATAACTGAATATGATATCATAATGTTCCTCTAGTGTTATCATACCAGGAGTTTGGTTACCATCCGACCGCCTAAGTAGACAGCAATGTAGACGGTTTTCTAAATCGTATGTAATATATACCGCAGCTCTTTAGGTCACGGAAGAGTTAAGAAAAAAGTCTATCGCAAAAAGGACTGGGTTTTCTTTTTTTTTTCCAGGGGAATGGGAGGGGGTGGGGGCTCTTAATCTCCAATCTGCCCCCATTCCCCTTACCCCCGAAAGTTTCCTTCGTCTTGACTTGCCACCCTCCCGTCTATCATTACATGATCAGAAATATTCTCTTAGTTCACTTGGTTGACAACCCTAGGAGAATGAAGGCGCGGGAAGGCTTACGACGCTCACCACAGGCTGCTAAAACATTGGCTCTGCTTTTTCAAGGTCATTTTCTCTGTTCTACCATATCTACCATATTAGGTGATGTCCCACTAGCCTGGTTTTGTGGCGGAAGGGCGATCTGACATGACACAGGTATCAATTAGTATTTGTACATTGCGCTCACGAAAAAAAATATAGACGAAAATTTATTAGCAAGAATATCTGCGTCGTACCCATTCACGATTCAATCTCGTCGACAGATTGCGCATCACTAGATAGTTCTTCAGTGGTGTTCAAGGAGGAAGGAAAGCTCTAGGGATGAGACTTTCTTTATCGTTATTAAGTATAAAAGTGAGAGTCATCAATAAAAGACCACACACACAAAAGCGAATAACAATAATAATTCAATTCTACGACCTGTTTGAATTGATAAGTCAAAAGACTTTCAATCGTCTGTTGATGAAGCAATTAAGTTCGAACACCTTGATTTGACTTGTTCATAACCCGCGTCCTGAAAACAAAAGGAATGCGCCTGCTACTAGTGAAAGAAAAGCCTCTTAGACTTATTTTATTCACTAATTAATCTACAAAATTAGAGAATTTGATAAGAATTACAATTTATGATTATAATTTTGCAAGTGATACGTGCGCATGCAGTATAGTTATACTTTACTCTGCGAGCAGAGGTTGTTTTTCTTCTTCGTAGGGCAAGGATGGCCAAAACGTTTGGCAGAAAATTAAAAGTACTCTGCAAGCAGGGTATTGATTGCCCTGGTCCCAGAGGCTCGACGATTTTACGAGTCTCTGGAACCAGGGTAGGAAGTGATACTTCCCTGAGTCATCGCCAATGCCACACCAAACTGACTAACCACGCCTTATTCAGGTGCGTTTACAGAAATTCTTCGCATTTTTCCCTCAGGCTCTTAGTCTAAGCTGAGCGGCGCTACTTACAATGCGATTACACGGGCGTGCGGCGGGCCGGGTTCCGGTGACGCCCCGGCCTGACTTGAGGTTGGTGTGAAGTGAGCATAAGTGGTTTCGATCAGATTAAATACATGTCGCAGATTTATTGTTCTTAGTTGTTTGTCCGTCTGACTTTCTTGTAATCATTACATATTTTATATATATATTTTTTAAAAGACACTCGGGCAGACGGACATGATGTTAGGATATGTTAGGAATGATAGTTTTTGATGTTTTTGCACGGTAGTTTCTCAAAAAAAATGTGCTAGTGTTACAAAGAAATAAGATGGCAATTTTATTGCCGAAAATTGTCTTGAAAATATAAAAACGTATCACTTCAAAGTGCCGTACACCTCACTAAATTTTCAAACTAAATATTTTCTTTTGGGGTTCCTGTGCTTGGTGAAACTTCAAGAGGTCTGGGTTATGTGTCACGTGACGAGTAGCTTTGCTTTGCCGCGGAAGGCATTTTGTGCCAAGACTGAAAAACCCGGCAAAAAATATAAACTTTTCTGCCTTAAATAACGCCAAAATAGTTCAAAAGTACCCAAAAATCACCAAGCATTGGATCAGGAATTAATCTAGGAACAATTCTGGGCCCAAATTGATGGCTAGTAGGATGTATTTAGACAGCTATCTTGACAGTAAGTACAGCCTTCCGAGCGCTTTTCGTATATCCCGCCATTTTGTTATCCCGTAAAAAAAACGCTGCAAAAATAACTATAAGCTTGTCTTTCTCACCTAAATTAATTATATTTGTCATAATTAATGAGTTTCAGCTCGTGTGATACTTAGAGAGAGTTTTAATAGCGCTTTGAAATCTTATTTTGTATTTATTTATTTTAATTAAGAATTAATGAAATCCATATTATTGCGTTGTGCATGAGGTAATGTTATTCAATAAATCCCAATCATTTTATCTGAATATTTCGTTCATAATTTTATTATGATTTAATCATACCACTTTTATTTTGTGGTATTTTATAATATTATAACATTAATAATTCCATAATATTAAATTATAATCCTAAAATATTATTAAATTATTACTAATAATTCATGAAAAATTACTTAAAAGCTTACAGTAAATAACTTCAGCTTATTATTCCCAGTCTTCTGAATATAATGGGTTTCTGGTTTAACAAGTTGTAATATGTCTAAGGCCCCGTCCACACTATGCTGGATAAATTTGAATCCGCAACTTACACACCAAAACCGAAAAAAGAAGTTTTCTGTCCACACATGGAAACAGATAAGATGTTTCGCATCCACACTAGTCCGATCGGAAGTGGCAAAAATGCCTCATTGCACATCTGAACATGTGCATCGAAGCTGAAATTGAGCCCATGGTGAATTTTTATCCTTCCTGTCATGTTCCCATGACAATCATGAGGTCATCGTATCCGAAAAATTTTGGATACCAAATGTTCTCCGTCCACGCTAATACGGCTAGCCGGTGTTTTCAAATTGTTCCCTGGAGACTGTATTCAAAAAAATTCATTTTTGATGAAGAATTGTTCGGGATTCGCCCAGACTAGTGTGGACGGTAGGCCTAACCAAATAGATAAAAATTCAGATTCAAATTTATCCGGCATAATGTGGACGGGGCCTAAGTAACAAATAACTCAATTTCCTGAAATACCGTACTAGTATACTGCACAACTTATCATTTATGATACGGTAACATACAATATAATGATTTTATATGAGATTATTATCAGCATACACACATAGCCCAATTAATATGTTGTAATATGTCTAAGTAACAAATCAACTGAATTTCAATGCAGCTGTCTAAAGAAAGATGACACACACAAGCGAATCAAGAATCGGGGAAATCTTTTCCTTTTCAGGTACCTTAACCGTTAAATTATCCAATGAAGCTAATAAGAGCAACAAGTTCATGTATTAATTATTCTGCTTCTGCATCTATATGTCTCCTAATAGGCCTTTTTAACTCGTGGATACGCGAAGCATAGAAACAAGTCATTGTGAGGGGTCTGAATATGCAAATGTGTCACTCACTCACTCACTCACTAAGATGTTAGCAGATCGATAATTAAACGTTTGTTGATCGTCTTACGTCATTTGATTACGAATGTTACAGGACACTAACAAGCACAAAGCTCTTATACCATATAGATTACTTTGATTTGAGTTCAATATACATGATGCATTGTAGTCTAGGTTCGGTACAAACAACACCATATAAGGCAAGATAAACAAAAGATGTTTGAACCGAAGCTAGACCACAATGCAGCGATTTCACTATCTCAGAAATGGACTGTGGACCAAATCCACTGAGCGTAATGTTGTGCTCATTTCAGACCATGTGTCATTCTCTTGAGAATAATATTGTTTGCTCGACTTGTATTCATATGTGTCTTCTCATGTGCAACTGTGAGACAAAGAAATGATACTCTAGGGAATGACATGTGGTCTGAAATGGGGAAACAGTGGATTAGATCTGAGGTCCTATAACACAATCAAATTATGTGAACAATTTAACATYATTGCAACATAACATTCATAACCTTAAACATAAAAAATATATTTAACTTCCACTAAGGCATATAGAACAATGTAGTTTCTTCTGTATTCATATTGCATGTACATTTTATCTCACTTTATTCAAACTAATGATAACATTCATAAAATCCTCTTAACCCATTGTCGTCATTTATAAAACATTCTTAATAATTTTGTGGTTTTGAATGCATTTAACAAATATTTAAAAACTTGGTATCTGGACTCAAAAATTAAAATTCAACATTATACAGTCATATACATGTATCTGATTCATTTTAAAAAGTTAACTCTCATAATGAACAATGAACAGCTGTTGTTGATGGGTTGTACTTTTTGCATTCTCAAATATTCTTTTGCTTTGCGCTGTTCCATTCACTTCCAACCCAGAAAAAAAATTGTCTCATTATTTCCACATCATTTATTTACTCCTGGATAATGATCAGTTTTGGAAGGAACTCAAAATCTCATGTTTTGTTGGCAGTTGACTTCTAACATGAGTATCATGTATCCCAAAGACATTGCAATGTCTTCTTACTTACATATCTACAAAGCTTTCACTGTTGTATCACAGCGTGGGACAATCACAACAGAGCTAGGCTCCAAACTAAGTGAAAGCCCAAAGATCGAATTAGAATTTAGAAGTTGATTTTTGAGGAGGGAGGAAAACTGGAGAATCCGGAGAAAAACCCTCGAAGCACAGGAGAGAACCAACAAACAACTCTACCCACATACAACATCGAGATCGGCAGGACTCAAACTCGTGCCACATTGGTGAGAGGCGGCACATTAGCAGCGCACGCAACCGGCGCTTCCCTTACCACTATCCCTACCACTAACCCACAGTTAGTCTAACAATGCACCCCTAATAGTTTTTCTCAGTTATTGGAACATTCTCCGATCCCAGACTCTTAATGAAAACCCTGAGAGATTCCACTGTTAGCAGAACAATATTATATTGTTAGCAATATTTTACATCTGTCAATTGATGCTTTATCTTAGGTATTGAGAATCTTCCCTTTGAACTACAAAGAAATTTTACTTTGATGAGAGACTTGGACCAAAGAACACAAGGTACATGTGAAATATAACTATTTTATGAGGCGTAATGACACTTTCAGTCTTCGTCTTTCCTTTCTCCTCCCTCTTCCAGTCATTCTCTTGTAGCTCTTTCACACTAATTTTGGACACATCGTTAGTAATTGTGCAGAAGAGTAGAAGCTTTTGAACCAATGAAGGATACAAAGCATGAGTATAAAGGATATAAAGCATGAGTATCCAGGCCAGTTACTGTGATATCCAGTGTATCATAAATAGACCTTATTCGTGGTTTGACAATGGTCATCCTTAGTCCTGCTATTCATCCTACGTCCTGTACAGTACCTCCAGGTCAAGATGTGTAAAACTAATCTATTTCTCTATTCAGTGCCTACATATCCTATCCAGTGCCGGGATGAATTTATTGGGTGTCAGCATTTATTTATCCTCTAGATAAGGATTTATCCATCGGATAGTACTATCCATCCTTATTACTGTACAACCAGGCCCAGACGTATACAGCTAATCTATTTCTCTATTCAGATTTAATGAAAGAAATAGACACCTTGTCTGAAGATTATGTATCCGGGGTAAGAGAAATGGACTCGGGGCAGAGAACTGACCACCTGAAGAAAATAGAAATTGCTTTCTCTAAAAGTAAAGAATATGTGGATGATAAAGTACAACTAGCAATGCAAACTTATGAAATGGTAAATACAATATCTGCTTCTCCAGTAAAGAAATAGAAAACGATGGGTGCTGTGTGCAGTCATAAAGCACGCTGGGGTTTGGCAGAACATGAGAGAAGTGTTAGGAGAAGCAGGACACGTAGTGGAGTGCTTCTCGAAACTTCCTGAGTGTTCTGCCAATCCACAAGTGATTCATAACTCCACACAGCACAGCACAGCAAGCAATTTTTTTATATCTTTTACAAAATACAAATTATTACATGAATGACGAAACTGAAAGTGCACACCCGTGCTGTGTGCTCTCATATAGCACACTCGCAATCAATCAGAATGCAAGATTTAGGACAGTTATTTTATAAATATTTTTACTACACTTCCAAGTAGAACATTTTCAAATTTGTACAATTATTATACCACTTTGTTGCATTTTGTTCATTAGGTACCTTAGGGGTTTCACTAAGCTTTGAAATAATAGGGAAAAGCCGTGAACTAGCCTGAAAGTCTAAGTGAACATCGCTGTCAAGCTATAAATGGTAGTTTAAGGAGAATTTTGCTCTTTTACTGTAGCATTCTTTAACCCCCAGTCCTTAATCCTTAATGAAACCCCTAATAATGTAATTAGCCTACGTAATTAGCCTACGTTCACATGGTGACGTAAGTATAATCATAAGCATTAGAATGAGAAATTTTCCATTAATTTTCTCGCTATGTGACCATGTGATTCATGATGTGGTTGTTTAACATCATAAGAAGTAAAAATTGGTATGTTTCAATACGTTCTGACTTTAATTTGTAGGTTGATAAACACATTAGAAAATTGGATTCAGATCTTGCGCGATTTGAAATGGACTTAAAAGAACAGAAAGCCAAAGAAGCAGGATTGTCTGACTATGAAGGTGATTTTTCTTAGATTTTTTTTGCTGTTTGTCTTGCTTCGTTCTTGTCTTCATTCAATTATTCAATTCTGTATCAGCGATTCAATTACAGTGTGATAACATGTATCTATTAATTTGAAAATCAATTTTCAATGGATATTTTCTATTAGTAATTCTAACTCATTCTGATTTGTTTGTGTTGTCTTTCTTTATACAGAAGAAATCACTCCACCTAAAAGTAAGTTCCACATGCAGAAATTATAATTGTAGTATATTTTTTCAATGAAAAAAAGAGATAGAAAAGGTGAAAAAAATTAGGGGAAAAAACTGAAAAATGAGAAATTCATGTTCATTTCATTGCATTTCTTTGTTCATACCAGAGGGAAGAGGAAGAATGAGTAAAAGAAAAGCAGACGAACCAGCTAAAAAGAAAAAGAAGTAAGTAGTGTTTGGGGTAAAGTGAGGAGACATCAGCTTCTGGGAAGTGAAGCTCACTTGTGAATTACATGTATTGTTGATGAAATAAGTCTGCTAAATGTAGTTGTTTTTCCTTCAAATTCTAGACGAGATACGAGTCCAGCTAAGAGCCTTGGTGTTACAGCTACTCTATTTTCACCTGAGGTTGTACAAGTTCTTGATATGCCTGTAGACCCGAATGAGCCAACTTACTGTATATGTCATCAGGTAACATCTTTATTCATACACATAGGGGATATAGGATGTACTTTTTTTCTTTTACCTCCTTTTAAGATGTTTTCAGTGTTGTTTATTGTGTGGATACTCCAACCAAGACCACTTAAATAAAATTGTATCTCATACACATTTATATCTTTCCTATCAAGCCGATAAACCCACCCAATGTGTCCTTGAAGTCTCATATGAGACTTGGTAGTTCAGTGGTTAGAGCATGGCACCAGAATCTCCAGGACATGGATTCAAATCCCATTCAAGACTCAGAATTTTTTCTGAGTCTTTCAATTTGCAGCTGCATATGTTGCTTCATATACTGCGAGGATCGGCTCAATTTCATACATTACAAACGCAGTACAAATATATATTTCATATATATTCTGATACATATAAACTTGTATCATTAACCAATCATATTGCAATATGTAGTACAATATTTTTGACCAGCCAATCAGATAGAACATCGATATAATAAGAACGTGGGAACGAAATAATCTGATTGGCTTACGCATGTTATCAGTTCAATCTCTGTCTAGTTTACTATTATCTGATTAGTCCGTTTTATTCAAGTGGTCCCGGTTAGTGTGTTCGCAAAGTAAAAAAAAAAATTTTTTTATTGCAGGTTTCATATGGTGAGATGATTGGATGTGATAATATTGAGGTATGGTTGGTATTTTAACTTTACCATATTCCCCTCAACCTCTGCCACCTCAGCAATCACCCAGCACCATCTCTACTTTCGCTTGATAGTCAAGTGGATTACCTCCCCAATTCTATTTTCCCTGCCCCCAAATTAACCAGGAACCTTTGGGAAGGGTGGCGTAGTGGGTTACCTGTCTCACAGCTGTGGTCCGGGTTCAAGCCCCACCTTGGACTTGATCATATGTGAGTTTAGTTGGTTTGATGTGTTGTTCTCTCCCTTGACAAGAGGGTTTTTCTCTAGGTTCTCCGGTTTTCTCAAACCGCAACTTTTGATTTTTTTATTCAACTTTTATGATTAGCCTTTGGTTTTATTTTTATTTTTTGGTGCCCAGATAACATTTGGATGACCTTGCTGTTTTTCTTTCAGTGTCCTATTGAATGGTTTCACTTCCCCTGTGTTGGACTCACTGCAAAACCAAAAGGAAAATGGTAAGTTGGAGTTAATGCTGTAAGTATGTTCTTGTAGAAATGTAAACTTTGTCAAACTCCTTCTTCAGCCTTGTTTTGCAGCAGAATAATTCTGCTTCCAATTATTGGAGTCGGAATCGGAAGCAGCTTATGACGAAGTAGAGTGCGCACCGTCGGCTTCCGTTGATAGCAGTTGAATTTCAACTGAAGGAACTACCGACGTTAAATATAGGTGCTTCACCTTTACCTTTAAGTGAACACTAGGGAACGGAGTTGAATCAGAGTTGGAAGCATGTCACAATGGAATCAGAGGAATCTGAAGAATTCATTTTACTTGGCTTGTACTTACTCTTATGATGAGCAGTTTTCACTTGAAATTTCATGCAAAGAATCTGATTCTAACTTCAACTCCAATTCTGTCTCAATTGAAAGCCAGGCTTTCACACTTACTCACCCTTTACATGCAGCCACCTTAATTCTGTGCCCACCTCCAGTGCCTTCTCTGCATTACAGCTTTAGTGATTGCAAAGAATCATTCTACAAGAAGACAAATCTGTACACTGAAATGTAAAATTTCTCCAACTTCCTCATAGAGTTTCCTCATCCCTTACCTCCCTTTGAGGCCTCCCTCACCCTCTGTGCCTGCCTCACCCTCTGCGCCTCCCTCACCCTCTGCCAGCCTCACCCTCTGCGCCTCCCTCACCCTCTGCCAGCCTCACCCTCTGCCAGCCTCACCCTCTGCGCCTCCCTCACCCTCTGTGCCTGCCTCACCCTCTGCGCCAGCCTCTTGTTAGTTGACTAAATTAAAGCTTGAGTCTATTTGAGGCATAATTTCAGACGCCATGTTATTTCTTCAAGTATCATTTTTTGTTTAACGGTTGCACATGAGAAGACACATGAATATGGATACAAATCAAACAAAGAATCTTATTCTCAAGAGTATGACACTTAGTCTGAAATGGGCGGAAATCAGGCCCAAAGTAGAGGTTTCAATCCTAAAAAAAATTTAATGTAGCTGGGTTTCATTTTCGTTTTTCAGGTATTGTCCCAAATGCGCCCAAGAAAGAAAGAAAAAGTGAAGATATCCTCAAATTATTTGTATACATTTATGAATTAAATCAAGAGAGCAGAAATAAGAGAGGGAAACTTCTTAATAACGCGTGCGCCATGTAAATTCCCGGTTGGGCTATTCTTAGTAACCGGATGCAGTTTAAATGTAGCCTTACTCTACTTCCGTGCGTCATCAGTGATCAAAACAATAAATGGAAAGAGCGCGAGCGTGAGTAGGGTTAGGTGAAATTTAAACTGCATCCGGTTACTAAAAATAGCTCAACCGGAAATTTACAATACGCGCGCGTAATTAAGCAGTTTCCCTCTTATTTATGCTTTCTTGGTTAAATTGTATATTCTTAGTACGTAATGGCTTGGGTTTGGAATACAAATCCCTACACATGTGGTGCGTCCATGATTTCGGTGAAAGGAAATGTCTACTGCTAAAACCGACAGTATATCGATAGCTCATCGATTGTTTGCCGATAGGCGTCCGATAGGATTCCGATAGTTTACCGATAAATTACGGATAGCTTAAAGGTAACTTGATCATAGCGAACCGTCAATCAATGATAATAGCTTATTGATACCTTAATGATAGAGTGCCGATACGTTGCCGATAGTTCACCGTTTCACCGACGATAACAACGAAAGTTAGCCGATGCATTATCGATAGGAGGAATACTTCGTACCAACGATAACATGGCGATTGTAACGACCACAATCCTTAATATATCATATTTTATACTCWAACCCCGGATCGTAACAGGGAGTTAGTGAACAATATTGTAGGGAAAAAAGGGATCTTAAAACGAGAAAATGAAATTTTCCCATTTGCAATCATTTTAATTTTTATGATTTAAACGCAGCATTCTGTGTATTTGCATGGGCTTCCTGTGCTTTATCATACTGTATTATAGATTTATTTTCCTTTAGCCCTTCTTTTTGAGCGGGAACAGGCTGGGGGAAGGGGGTAACAAGTATCATTCTCTGGGGGGGGGGGGNTTATTACCACCCTTACTGTTAACACCTGGAATATATCTGCTACCACTACACTGGGCTTTATTGAGCTACTAGATAACCATTTCCATGGTAAGTTTGTAAGTTTTTATTCATTACGCTCTTTTCAAGGGCTTAGGTTAGGGTGAATTGCTGAATTGCCCCCCCCCCCTCCCCCCACTCCTTCGTGGCAGCAAAAATGGTGGCTTTTCCCAAACAAAAATGGCGGATTTTTTAATTTGCCCCCACCCCATCCCCCTTTTTTCCAAAAATCTTAGCTAAACCCCTCCTTTTAGAAAACAATGGTATATTAAAAGCGAACACCTTCAGGGCCTCGTTTTCATGCTTTTTTTTGGGGGGGGGGGGGAACCAGCTAATGTACCGGCTGAGAAGTTAAGGATTTTCTTGGGGGGGGGGGGGGGTGGATGTAGTCACCTTTATAAACGATTACCTTGGATATGTAGATAACTACTTATAGATGTAAAAAGGTTTGTTGAAACCAAGTTTTAAATATAGATACTGATTATGTAAAACTTATACACATGCTGTCTTGCTTTATTGGTAAATGATATGTCGCATCTTTACAGAATATTTCCTTTGAAATCGTCATTCTTTTCGTCATCTCGTACATGATTGAATTTCTTCGTAGAGTTTTGAGCAAAAAAAGAAAAAAAAAAATCGGTAACTAAGCAAGATTTTGGTTAATTAAGTATGCAAAATGAACATCAAAATCTGATCTTTGGTTCAATCAAAATCTATGGAGTATTTTTCACACGGCCTTCATCTTGGCAGGCTTTTTTTTCCCGCGTAGCCTCGCTTTCAAGCATGACGCAACGCGACGTGTGATCAAGGTTCATTTTCGCGGGAACCACACGCAGGCTATAGAGCTGTGCATTATGACTGCAGGCTCCTACAGGTGTTTTATTCCCTAAAAATATTTTGATGGTCCTAAATACGGGTACCAGAAATAAGAGGCGATTTACACGATCAAAAGACATTTTCAAAAAACCTTGCATTTTTACTTAACTTGGAGGAAAAAGCCCCAAAAATGTAAAGAACGAAAATCATTATAAAAGTGCTATTTCTAGAAGCAATTCCATGCGGATTATTTGTAAGGCGCGAGAGGAATCTCTAAGACAAGAGAAAGTTTCTTCAAATTTCATTATAAGACAATGAAAAATATTATTGAAAGGCGCTCTCTTGACTAAAGAAGGCCTATGTTTCAAGCGCCTTCCAGCACAGGATGAGAAAGTTTCGCAATTGTCGCGTAAAAAGAACCTTCGCTTCCATCTTCGTCTTGGTAATTATTGCAGCGTACATCACTCTCAACAAGAGTATCAACCAAAACACTAAAAGGAACGTCAGAACAGATGAACGAGACCCATACAGGTATTTCCACAACATTTGTCTTTTGAATAACGTATGTTTTGTATAAAGAAGACAATATAGCTGTGTTTGAATGAGAAATGTTATAAATTTCCTGACATTTCCTGGTAATTGGGGTTTTAAATTCTACGTTTCACCTTCTGTGCTAACGCCTCTTGAATTTGAAGGACATTTATGGCATTATGATTTGACCGTTATCAGATCTACCTACTGATCTACCTTTTTTTTAAACCGTTCAGGCTTTGAGTTATAAACGGGGTACTTCTATAGATTTTACCAATCTCGTACCCATAGCTTATGTTCCTCTTCTTGGAAGGCAACGACGAGAAGAACGTTTTTTATTTGGGTGGGGGAGGGGGGGTGGTGCTGGGGCTTCTGAGAGGATCGAGAGCCATATCGGAAAAGATTTAAGCTTTAGTGAAGAGGAAAACCTTTTTACTTTGACGGAAGCTGTAATAAAATAACATTGGATAGACAAAATTTGAGGAAGAACTGTTTAACGATCCTCGGAATCGGACTTCAACTTTGAAAGTGTCAAGGGCAAATATTTATTTTATTGTATATCTTATTAATCACACCAAACGCGGGCCATTTCGAATAAACTTTGAAAGGGAAATAATTTTTTGATGTGTTATGCAGTCACCAAATCGATCAGATCGCGATGGAAGTTGCAGGTTACATTGGGTAAGCACGCCTGAACACTTCACTAATATTCATCATTTTTAGGTTCCAGCTACAGCACGCGGCGTGGGTCTGGAACGATGACGTCGTATACGTCGAAGAAAAAAGTCGAAAACCCAGAGAAGTTCCCACAGATGAGTCACCCCAATTTGAGGTGATCACTCATACTAACAAATCTGCTTCTCTTGCTCAAGAGGGAACTGACTATGGCCAGAATAAATTCCTTGGTCTTGAAGGCGTGGAGGATTATATCTTGAGTAAGGATGATTATCGTGAACAACGAAAAGTACCCAATAGAAGGTATTGTCTTTTTTGACATAGTTCCTTCAATGTTTAAAGTGCCTATACCACCCTAACTTAATATTTTCAGTATTGATATTTGAATGGTAAAAAAAAAAAATTCATAAGATATAAGTGATGCATGTTGGTTTATCGAGGTTCATACTTCCAATATGCTAATCAGTAATATGCAATATGCCCCTCCTAATGCCATACACCGATCTGTTTCTGCTTTTTCATGACAATGGTGCTGGATTAATGACGTGCTTTAGCCTATAGTCCCTATCCAATTTTGTCGTAATCATTAAATTTTCCTTTCACAGGATAGAGAAGTGCAAGTTCCCACTATTTAACATCCTATTCTTAAAGACTCATCACACCGGAAGTGACATCATAACTAATATCCTCAATCGCTTCGCCGACCTCCGTGATCTTAGGGTAGCGATCCCAAACGGTGGCGTCTCGACATTCTATTGGCCAGCTCGTTTCCATTGGCGACACCTTGATTTATCAATACATGACGGGGTATTGCCAAACATCCTTTGCAATCATGCTCGCTTCAATGGTGAAATTATGGACCAAATCATGCCTCAGGGAACTGTATATTTAACTATGTTACGTAACCCGGAGACCCTCTTCGAATCTACCTTCGATCATGAACACTTTACAGCTATGCTGGACATGTTTGAATACGATGATCCTATTGGCTCGTTCCTGGAAAATCCCAAGATGCATATCGAGCATGTTATCAAGCATAACATGTTTAAGGTAAAAAGCGAGAATCATTTTCTCTCAAAGTAAAATGTTGATTTATCCTTAAGCAAGGCTGAGGGATGAGACTGAACCGTGGAAAGGCGGGACTGAAACCCTTAAGATGAAGCGCGTACGCCCTAAGGATTGGCGAGAAAATGGTACAATACCTCCCACCCCCCACCCCCTCACCCATTGACAGTAACCTCGCCACGCCCCCGTCGCTTCCGCCAGATATTTTTGAGCGTTTTTAACGCCAACCTTAATTATTAATTATTGCCATCCTCCTTCTTTTCCAGGATAACTTGAATCTAATCAAGAATGGCATGTTCTTTGATCTCGGTTTACGAACAGCCGACTACCACAAACCCCAAGTATTCAAAGACGCCATTTTGGACATAAGCGATAAATTTACTCTAGTTCTGATATACGAACACCTTGATGAATCGCTAGTGATGTTAAAACGAAAGCTCTGCTGGGAACTAGACGATTTGTTGTACTTAAAATCGTACTTCATTGAGAAAACAAGCTATAGAAACTTTACCGAAGCTCAAAGGGAACAACTTCGAAACTGGAGCAAAGCTGATAGCGCTCTTTATGAATATTTCAATAGAACTCTTTGGGAGAGAATTGCCAATGAGGACAATTTTGAAGAAGAGCTAGGCCTATTTAAGGCAAAGCAACGACAGATTGAAGAAGATTGTGAAGATGCTACAGTTGATGATGGCGTCTTCGACTCGGACGAGACATCATCGCCTGGTACCGAGAAAATGAATAAATATCTTTGTCACAAAATGACTATGTCGGCAGGAAACTACTTGGAATATTTTCGAACTAAATTTGCTGTGCGAAAACATGGGAAAAGCTACACAAGTGGTTAGTTAGAAAAGACTTGAAGAGACATCCATTCTCTCTGCTATCCCAACCCCCCTCCCCAGGTTTCTCCATGTCTCGCTCTACGCGTTATAAAGTATTCACTACAAGGCTTTTCTTTGACCTTTTTATTAGATTTTTATTTAATGGACATTTATATTATTATTATAATTTTCTAAAGCTTGCTGCAAGAATGATAATAAGACACGTATTTCGTTTTATTTATAAACAAAGATCAACAATGATTCAACGTATACTCAGCGTGACAAGACAGGATGTTCGTATATGATGGTTTTAATTTTCAAGATCACCACCCCTTTTCTTTCCGTTCTTTGCAATAGTAGTGAGTATCCTCACAAAAGTATCCTTGCGAATTGTTTTGTATACTAGGAGAAAAGGAGCATTTATTATCACTATAAAATTCAAAGGGACGCATGCGCAAACGTTTCTCTCTCGTTGCGCTATTCACTCACATGGTTTGCCTGTGTTCAGTTTAGGGCTTCTAACAAGCACCGCACGTTTTCTTGCAGTAGTATCCCTTCAGCATGTGTTCAAAGTATCTCTGGTCACACCACCCCTTTTCTTTCCATTCTTTGCAATAGTAGTGAGTGTCCACGCATTTAACAGCTGAAAAAAATGCAAAGCATTGTAATTAAGTTCGACGAAGAAATTACGTTAGATCTTTGCGGCTTGATTTCCGCCAAGAACGTCATTTCCTTTCTCGTGCGAAATGCACATCAGTGAATTACAAGTTTTCAATAAAATTCTTTCTGGCTGACAGCACACGGCGGTCAGTGTTTGACCACCATTTGCAGCAGATAATGGTTCAAAGACTTTTACCAGCTGATTGAAATCCATGGCCAGCAAACTTAAGTATTTTAGAATGAAATCATAAATGATTTTGTCAACATGGTGGATCAGAAGGCACATACCTAGGGACAACAGACATGTTGCCGCCATGTTGGTTGACATAAGAAAAACCATAAGTAATTTTGTTGACGTCAAGTCATGTGTTCCCCTGTGCCCACAATGCTCTATCCGAAGTAGTCAGCGGCATTAGTGTATGACCTCACTTCCGCTGGTCAGCATTCCCGTAATGTCATATTACTGAAAACTACATATAAAGCTTACTTTTTTGAAGAGGAGCAGACGCCATCTTCTGTCCAATCCAGTCAACAAACGAACTAACTCTCGTGAAAACCGAGTAATACGCGTTCCCACAATGGTGGTCTCCCCAGCTGACCACTCCTTGCAGTTCCCACCGACCGTTGTCGTCTTGACAGGCCAGCGGTCCACCACTGTCCCCATGACAACCACTCTGTGTTTGATTACCGTCGACAGTCCCTACGCAGATACTAGAGAATCTATCAACTCTGTGTTTTTTTTTGTTCCTGTCGTAGCAATCTTGGTAAGACACGACCGGTAGCTTGACAAGACGAAGGAAATTGGATTTATCTCCGCCGAACTCGTTCATGCCCCAACCTGAAAATAATCGTTGAATATCCTCTTATCGTTAATGCTCAATTCTCAGACCCTATTAGGGAGGGTACCCCTGTCCTTCGTCTCGAGTTTTAAAGTAATTCTGTCAGGGGAAACTTTGTTATTCATTGAACTTTCACACTTCCTTTAGCTATATTTACATATATATTTATATATAGTAAAGTTTACAGTTTTCATTAGACCTGATGATGTTGTCGAGATGACAGCGAAACGTTTCCTTTTACAACTAGTTTTCTTAATAAATTGGAAACTTCGTTGTAGTCTTTTTTTTTTCTAAACAAATTTAGAACCATACTTCCAGACATCCAATGCTGAACCGTCCAATGGCAGCACGAAGTTACATTTACGTTTATGCCAGAGATTTCTGCCCCGACACCGCTATCCCGGGGATTTACAGACTGATCAATTACACTCAGACTTCAAAATATTTATACTTTCGAGCAGTCTGTCGTTCGTTGCTAGTTCGATTCCCGGAGTTGGTGACGTATTTCAGTGAGTATAGAGCGGCTTATTGGTTCTATTCTGCGTGACCCCACCCTGAGAATTGGTGCGACTGAGGCTGGAAGCAACAACCTCCCGCACAATAGTCCGATCCGGTACCGAACGAACTGAGCCAATTGTGAAACGACGTTTTTAAACATACCAGTCAGAAAGCATTCCTTCCCTATTGGTACTTGATCATATAGTCTTGGCAAACATATCGGGTATACAGCACATGATGTCTTTACAGTCCTGTTGAGTCTTAGGATGGCAATGTCGTAAGCATATTCTGAATCCGCTAGGAATCGACTGTGAAGGTGSACGGCAGACACTGTGAAATCTTGCTCTGATATGTCTGTCACATTGCGTTGGTACTCGCCTAATTATAATAGAAATATGAATGTAATGATTTCGAAATATCTGTGAGTTAGCCGTGCCCTGACTTTGATCAACCCAGAGGTTGTTTCAGGGTTCAATCTGTGAGTTAGCCATGCCCTGACTTTGATCAGCTCAGAGGTTGTTTCAGGGTTTGATCTTTGAGTTAAGCATGCCCTGACTTAGATCAGCCTAGAGGTTGTTTCAGGGTTCAATCTGTGAGTTAGCCCTTCCCTGAATTAGATCAGCCCAGAGGTTGTTTCAGAGTTCAATCTTTGAGATTGATTGTTGTTCCAGGGTTTGATCTGTGAGTTCGTCATACGCATACCCTAACGTAGCTAATTTCGGGGTTTTGATAAAGTTAAAGGTTTTTGAAAGCGCACGGCCCCATTATCTTACCAAGCCTAACTTTCAATGCAGAGACTTCCTGATCAAAAACACAATGAGCTGCAGTCACAACCCACTCAAGATTAAACAGACTGCCACCACATCTATGAACATAGCTATTATTTTCTTTCTTCCAGCGAAGAATCTGTGCCTGCCATGGCCATTGATTGGGCGTTGCTATCTCTCCACCAATGATGCGCTTAACTGGGGTCTCGCATTGTGGCTTTGAAACACGTGGAAGAAATCCTGTTAATTAAGGGAATGTAATATTTCTTATATTAATATTTATTTGTTTTTCGTGATAACTTAGTTACAGAAATCATATAACTTAATCGAGACCAATATAACACACTTTAGTAGACCTTAATTCCATTGTTTTCCTTTGTGTTTATTTGACTATTACACCGACGTTGACAAGTATTTTTTATTTCGAATTCACGGGTAAAATGCCTTCACTCTATCAACTTTTTTTTATTCCATGGTTTTACTGCATGAGTGACTAATCCAGGGAGTGCATCCCCCCGGTCCCCCCGGCTCCGCCGTCCCTGTAATCTAGAGTGACTTCACTCGAACCCTGGTGAGAGACTATAGTCCTCGTTTCCCCCAGAGCTACGTAGGACAAAAGACAAGTTAGCCCTATCAGTGAAGTTGCTTTTTTTCTCTACATACACCATTGAACTCTGAACTCTGTCATTACATCTTTTCAAAACAACGACACGTACGAAGCCAATTAACTTTTCAAGAGTAGTTTTACTTATCTAATTTGTAACCCGTGAAAGAGTGTTTAGACTAATGGAGGTTAGTAAATCTTATAGTGATTTTAATTAGCTCATCAAATACTTAGTAGACTAAAATAAAGACTAGTAGATCTTATTTTCATTGTTTTCGTTTGTGTCTATTTGTCCATTACCCACTAAACAAGTAATTTGTATTTCATGAGTTCATTTCATAAGCTCTATTTATAAATATAAACTAAATACCTTACCTTTGACATTTTTAGGATAAGCCTTGCACATTTCTGCGACCCATATAAAAAAGAAAATCCGGAAAAGGAAGCACTTCGCAGCCATAAGTTTACTGCTTGTCACGCCTCTAAAATTCCACTTTCTAGTCGCTTCTAGTTAAGCCGGAGAATTAGCTCACACTTGAAAAATGAACAAAAAAACAAAAAAAACCAGCCCGAACTAATGCAATAATACTGTTTTTATACGATTAATGTTAATAGTGTTTTTACCGATCGACAAGTATTTGTCTTTTTGRCAATACCTACATTATTACAATTTAGTAGGGATAAGTTCTGATTGGATGAGTGAAATGCAAATGTTGGGATACCTGTATTGATATAAACACCAGTGACATTTCTGGGCGGGAGAAACGACCGGTCAGAACAGAGAGAGACTACGTAGCAAGCATCTGATGCAATGTGTTCATAAAAATACAATGGGTCACACCTAATACAATAGATAGAACGACCATAAAATACATTAGATTTATTTTCTGAATACATTACATCAAATGAGTGCTATGTAGGTTCTTCCATAACAGATTAAGTTTCCCGTTTTTCCTTCCCGCCAACGGCAAACATGACCTCATTTTCATCGCGTATTTCGTCTTTTTACCTTTTACAAACCTTCTTACCAAAGACAAATATTCTTATTTCTACTATGTGGAGATTTTTACGATCGGAGGGGGTCAAATCAACGCAAATTCACAGAAAATTGTTCTAAAACCCATATCAATCCACGAAGAGAAGTAGAATAGCCAGCAAAATATTTTTAGTACATATTAACACATATTATATCTGAAAACCAGACCATTTTAGATGAAACTGTTTCGCAAGGAGCAAATTTTGTTGAATTTTCTATTGGATTTGGCGATTCTATCCCCCACATAAACAAGCAGTGACGTCATAGTGAATTAGGGCAATAGCGCAGCGCAGCCGTGACGTCATAAAAACGAAGACAACGGCGAAATTCGGACAAACAAACTTACAACTTTACTTTCAGAAGATAATTTTCACAGCCGATCGCAGTTGATCTTAGTTTACATGGGGTTATTATTGTAACTTTAAGTAAAAATAATAAAAATCGGTTCGTATAATCCTTGTAGCGGTTAAACAGAATGCAATGTTTGTCCGAATCTTTAAGCTATTTTTAGAATTAGCGCGCTGCGCTATTAAATATCCAGTGTATGGTTGAAAATCTTCCGCGGAGCTGGGTACGTTACAGCAACCAGTCACGCTTCAAATCACGCAACCCGTCACTAGCAAGCATTCCACAGGTTCTAGTACTTGATGGTGGTTGAAKTTGAACCCGTCTAGGATAGAAAAAAGAATTTTGATAATATATTAGACCGAAGGCAAGCAAACAAGTAGGCAAGCAGACGAGGAAACAAGCGACTGGCTGGTCGATCAAAGTATTTTGCGGTCCACCCAATGACCCCCTCTTTATTTTAGTTTTAGTTTCAAGTTTTGATTTTTCATCCAAAATTCAGTGACCTTTAAAATAAAAAATCAGTAGATAAAGATGATCTCCCTGAAAACTCCACACTGAACTAATTCTACATTACTAGTCCGCTATAGGACGTTTGCATGATGGCATCACTGACCTCTACTACCAGACTCCCTTGCACACTTTCTTTTGTTCAGTTAATTAGCACCAATTGTCTTACTATTCTCATAGGGAAATACAAATTTGATTAAGAAAGAAAATTCGCGAAGCATTATGGTAGTGGGAGTCAAATGATGCCATCATGCATACGTCCTATTACAGGTGATTTTGTGCTACCGATATACCTCATGATGAGTCGGATGACAATCACCATAAGTCTTCCTGCAGTGGTAACCCTTTGTTATGATCCACTTCACACCATCGTTTATAGATTTCCATTGTTCACAATAATAATGAGTATCCATGCAGCATGCAAATATTTTTATTCACTCAAGACCTAAATTATCAGATTTGATTACCACCGAAGCCAGTATACACCAACAAACCCCGAGTCTAATTAACCATGGATGTTATATTTCTAATATCCCTTTTCTATCTCATTCATAGAGGTAAGCCACGTTTAGTCAGTAATAGAGGTTTACAGCGGGTTTATTTTACACTGCTAGTTGTGTATTACAGCCAGTGTAAGTGGCCGTAATTTTGGAGCTCAACTCCAACAACATAGCTTATGAAGTTATTCTTAATTTTTTTACCTCTTTTGTACAGAATCTGCTAATTTATGTTTTCGATCTTGCTTTAAATTTGTTAAAAATTTTAAGCAACTTGTTAACGGCAAACATGAAGCGTCAGTTTACAAGAAAATACAGAAGGATAGATATTTTTACGAGTGTCAGTTTACAAGAAAATACTTATATGTTAAGTGTATGCTACATCGAGTGTATAAGCAAATCTGCCTCAGTCGGGTTCTCGCGGAACTCGATATAGCATACACTTCACATTTAGATCATTACCGAGTGACAAAAACACATTCATAAAAAGAATTCAGAATTCTTCTTCAGAATTAGAAAAACTTGACGTAGTTTCGTTTTAGATTGGAATATGACAAAATGAACTTTGAGTTGGAAATGTCATTTTTCGTATTTTTGAGCCAGAAAACGTAAGACCACAAATCCGTTTACTCCCAGATCGCCCATTCCAGATCTTCCACCGACAACGTTTTTCGAAATTGGCCGTGTACACCTATTTCAAAAAACGTTGTCGGTCGAAGATCTGAAATGGTCGATCTGATACTAAACAGAATATTGGTACTTTTATGCTTTATGCCTGAAATACAAAAGAAAAATCACTTATTTCAAAGGACGTTGTTTGGCTGTGTGTATATATTTCATTTTGCAGCGTGTTACTCAGTCTTAGATTTCAGATTTCAGCTCTCCAACCGACAACGTTTTTCGAAATAGGTGTATACATCTACTAGTTTCAAGGAAAAACATGTACCGCTCGCCCTCTTAGGAAACCAGATTTGATGCAGAAGAAGCTCGACCTCTCTAAAATGGGCCTAAGATTTTCTTAAACCAAATTATTTTAAAATAATTCTTAAGGATTCTTGACTTTACTTAAACAGCTTTTAGAGCGTATGAGTAATGTTTTATTTGATGAATAAATTATACTGCCTCATTTCTATATTTTTTCATGTAAAGTGAATGAGAGAATGGCCAGGTGTCCGAAGCAGCCGGTTCAATAATATATTAGTATATAGCATTGGATTTATTAATAATAGATACTATTCTGTCTGTCGCGTTTTGCAAGATTACATGGATTCCGCCTTAAGTTATCCTTTAAGAGTTCCCTTTAAGAATAACCTTAAAGGAATATATACTTATTTCAATAAAGTTAGTCACCTGAAAAGCTACAAAGTTAAGACCGGCAAGGATTATGGGTAGATACATTTTACATGTTTCAACCGCTTGATAACTGTTGATGGACTTGAGAGACCTCCTCTGAGTACCCTCAACTGCTGCAGTTTGTGTCAAAAGCTTTAGTTGTTGGATATAAAGCATTTTCCCATGATTCTCAGCAATCACAGCTTTCTAGGTTTTTGGCCAGTGACTAACTTTATTTGAAATAATTTTATGTATATACTGAAATATATATATAAATAATAAAGAAATAAAATATAGTTTCGACAAATAAAATATCCTTACATGTCGAAAAAGGGGCGAAAAAATTAAAAAAAGAATAAAAAAAGAAAAGAAAAAAGAAAAAGAAAAAGAGAACGGTGCGATGAGAATGAAAAATTCGCCACATATCTTACATGTAAATTTATACCCAACACTCAGGGTCTTCGTAAAATTACTGAGGACAAGGTGCTGTCTTTGTTATTATATGAAATATTAATGGTTAGACCTTCATGTGGGTTGGATGACTACGTTAATGCGGGTCACGTCCCTAATTAACTGAAGACGTTAAAAGAGTACCACGAGTATATTATTTGAATTACTGTCAAGTGTTATCCTCTATAAACTAAGTTAATTATACTCATTCACAAAAATTTTTCGATCTACTTTATAAAACGTTTTTATAAAATAATTGGGATACTACGCGCGCTATGACTGGTCGAAACTCTACTCGAAAAGCGCTATGACTGGTCGAAAACTACTCGAGAAGCTGGAAACTACACTCCTCTCGTGTTCTCTCAACATCCCGCGTGTTTTGATCAGAGTATCAAACACGGAAAACTGTTTTTAATCTGTTAAGGAAAATTCTGAAAAAAAATATGTTAAAATTAATTCATTACTTATCTCTCAAACTGCAAAAAACAGGCAAGAAACCCATAGCATCAAAATTACTTTTTCTTCCATTTTCGATAAACCAGTTTTGAGCAATGGGTGTAAAGATATGGACTTCAAGATCACGATAGAAGGTCAAGCCTTGGTCAACCATACTTTCCTAACCACTCAAGCCACGAACGATGGTCACTGCGAGTCAAAGTGTTTCATGGATGATCTCTGCATTTCATACAACTTTGGAAGAAGCACATCTGGGCAGTCAAACACGTGCGAGCTGAATGAAGCTGATCACAAGCAGTTTCCCAATGATCTTGTACCGCGACCAGGCACCATGTATAGGAATGCCGAGGTTAGTAATTATAAATGTGAAAGGGAAAGATAACTATAGGCTGAGGTTGGCTCAGAGATGGTCGATCACCCATCCATGCATCCATGCATCCATGCATCCATGCATCCATGCATCCATGCATCCATCATTTTCTTTCATAGTGCGCCACACATTTTGTTGATTGTTTTCCCTCTATTTATTCAGAATACTTGTGACTGCAGTACCAATGAGGTCTGCCGAATGGATTTTATTCAAAAGACACATTTTTGTGAGTAGGGTAAATTAACGCTACAGTAGAGTTGAATCCAATATTATTATCTATTATATAGACATAAGTGTTTTACTGGGAAATACGCCACTGGTATTTTTCGTACTAACTACATTCGGGACCTGAGTAACATATTTCCCATACCTTCACTAGTCAGGATATCGAGGACGTCACTTGAGATGTTTTCHGGGACCTGTTTTGATTAACTTGCTCAGTTTTTCTTTGTGCATAGATTTGTCTATATAATTAAAAGAAAATTACACGTTGGCTTGAAGATATGAAGTTTATCTTTTCGGGTTGAAAAATATTTCACCACTTGAAGATAAACTTCATATCTTCAAGCCAAAGTGTAATTTTTTTATTTATTGCGATAAATTGATGCGTGACTGAAGAATCTATCAAATCTTACGGATGGATCCTTTCTTCAATACCCTGCAAGAAAAAGAAGAAGGGAAAAAAAAACATTCGACCTCTGGGCTGATCGAATTCAGGGCATGGCTAACTCACATATTAAACCCTGAAAAAAGCACTTTTGGACTGATCTAAGTCAGGGCAGGGCTAACTCACGAGCTCTACTCATGCGGCGAGTGCACTTCCACTACACTACCCTAGATTCTCTTGTACAAAGTTTGTGGTTTAATCTTAAGCTTTCGATTTTTTCCAAGGTTTTGCGGCTAAGAACTGTAAGAGCTTCAAAGTTGTTCGGGCTGATTATTTTCTTGATGGAAGTGGTCAAGGTCAAACCGGCCTCTGTAGGGGTGTTTTCAAATCACCATCAGGCAACACTCCAGCAGAGCCTTATCGTATAACAGTCGAGATGTATACCTATCTAGTCACTGCAAGTTCGAGTGGGGCCATGCATCCTGGTATCGGATTCAATGTCAAGGATGAAGACAATTTTAATTTTGTTTACTTCAGGTAATGACTGTTTTTCATCAAAAAATGGTACCGTAATATCCCGATTATGCGTCTTGCGGTTACAGGCCCACCAGCCTGCTAAAATGGAAATATCCTTCTAAGCTCCCCTGGTTATTAGCGCACCTCTGGTATCTCGTATTTTTTCGTTGATGAAACAAAAGCAAGACAAAAAAAACCGTTTCCTTGCCATTCCAAATCCCAAAATTCTTCCTTCCTGTCAGTAAGCCTATCAAAAACCCTTTAAATGGGTACGAGCCCAGGGGTTATAACCGGGATTTTAAGGTAGCCGCTTCAGTGTTAGTAGGGACCATAAGCTGCAGGACTGCAACGACGACGACGACGGCAAGCATAGACTCTTATTGGAATGTACGAAACACTGTGCATCATTACCGTCTTACTAAAGAGAACGGCTATGCCAAAAGCTCATCTTCGCTGATTTTCGTTTTAAGTAAAGCGACTCCAAAAGACGTCATTTCACTCCAAAACGATGTGCTCATTGAGTAAAATACTAGACAAACATGAAATAATAATACAATAGAAGGTTGAAGCGGCTCACTTTCGCCAACGTTGTCGCCCGCGTTGCCGTCCTGCAGCTTAAGGTCCTTAGTGTTGTGGAAGGAAGGACGGAATGAAGGAAGGAAGGAAAGAAGGAAGGAGGGAAGGAAGGAAGGAGGGAAGGAAGGAAAGAAGGAAGGAGCGGAAGAAAGGAGGGAAGGAATGAAGGAGGAAATGAAGGAGGGAAGGAAGGAAGGAGGGAAGGAACTGCAGAAAAGGGAGGGAGGGACCACGTAGTAAGAAATAAATTTATTTTATTGGTATTTTTAATTACATTCTTTAGAACGCATGTAACAGCATCTTGTTCAGGTTATGTTACACAGCCAGGGAGATTGCAAGCAAACAGTGTGAAAATAATGAACGGAGCCTGCTCATATTACGTGCCTCCAGCCAATGCCTGGTTCAAAGTAGAGATTAAAGTTTATCCAGGTCAAGTAAAAGTTTTCATAGACGACAACTACGCAACAACTTACTCCGGAATGTCAACCACTTTGATAAAAAGAGGTGCCCTGATGGTGTTCAATGGCTACGGAAATGCAGTGAAATTTCGAAATTATCGTATTGAAAATTTGTAAGGCACAACGGGTTTGTATACTGGACCGAAAGCGAATATGGGTCAAATCACAGAAGCGATTAAATATTCGTTCTGAATTAATTGTTCCCGCTAGTAGTAAAGATAATAATGGCGAGAAACAATCCATTAAATGCATGTCTTTGGGTTTAGGGAAAGAAAAACAAAGTAATGATTCAGTTCACGATTTCGAAAATATGAAGGCATTAAAAAAAACATCTCCTTCAACACTTCCCGCTAGCCTGCGAAGGTTCGTGCTGTAAACCAGGCATAACTAGTCAAATAAAATTACTACATTCAACTCGGCTTCAATGATTGCTGCCCAGAGTTCCTTTCGGTTCAGTCGCGTAGGCTTGAGATGGTCGACGACAACGTTTTTTGAATTGACTGTATATTACCGTGTGCACAGGGGTCATGGAGTGGGAGCAACTGGGGGCTATCGACCGACGTCTCCCCAAAATACACTCTTCACAAATTGGATTTWAAAAAAATGTAACAGTACATACGTGGCGCCTTTATGTATTATAGTAATATAATTTGTAGATTTTGTTCAAGAAAATCACCACATTGAGTTTTCACACGTTTGGGACTACATTGCATGAATTTGTAAAACACTGTAAAAGATAACACATTATTTATACAAAGGGAATAACTTTAAGTAAGTTACCTATCCAGCTGTAAGCCAAAATGAAGAAAATTAAGTCACTTACTCTACTGGAACTTTTTCAATCTCGTACCCAGAGCCTGCGTTTCCTCTGGCCTGTGCGGCGAAGAGCGAGGGCTCCGGCGTACTCCATCATTTGGGAACAGGATTCTTGGACCGGTGTAATAGCGCATGCGTTCAAAGATTTGCCAAAAATTAAAAAAATATATTCCCGATTTCTAATTTTTATTTTGATCGGAAGTAAACACAGAACTCTATTTGAAAGCTATAGTCCCCCAGTCGCAGTAGTACCATACTAACAGAAAATATAGCTGACTATATAAAGAGAGAACATACTGAGAACCAAAACCAAGAGGAGTGAAAGCTCTTGTCAGTAAACTTTTCCCAGAAGACATTTCAAATTAGGAATACTCTCGATTTTTCCGAGATCGAGGTTGCTTACGTATAAGTATAAGTTTAAAAAACTGTTTATTCTCACTATATGAGCAAAAAGGAATTGATGGTATTACTCTTTCTAAAAAGATATTGCCAAATATATGAATAATATGCATTTAAAAAATCTTATCTGGAAACGATGGGGCTTGAACCAACAGAAAAAATTAAAAAAAAAAAAAAAAAAAAAAAA